CTTCCTCCTTGTGAACCAGAATGAAGTCAATGAAAGCAATGAACAGCTCGTTGCAAGGTCTGTGAGTGGACTGAAACCCCAAATTCAAAACAAACTAATTCCACAACGGATTTTCAGTCTTGATGAGGCTTATCAAATGGCCTTAAAAGCTAAAACCTAGTTGAGAAATAGTCAAACTGGGGCAGGAAATCAACCACAATTCAAAGGGGACATGTGGAAAATCAAAAGCCACGAGATTTGGGTGTGAACTACACCCAAATGAGGCATATGGACAAAGCTCCAGCTGTTAATAGACCTCTCCAAACCAGAGAACAGGGTGTAAAATATTACAAATGTGGCGAGCGTGGCCACGGGTCGTATGAGTGCTGGAAACGGCAAGCTAGAACACATCTCCTAGATGGGAATGAAGTGAATGAAGAAGACTTTGTCATGGGACTAGTATTCCATGAGGAGCTGGTAGGGGAAATTGAGTAAGATGCTGCTGAAATTGAGGCTGATGAGGGGGATTTCATTGTCTTTAGACAACCACTAACTACCCCAAAGGTGATAGATGAATCGTGGCTTCGAACCAACATCTTATGGACTCACTGCACAGTCCTTGGGAAGGTGTGCAACATTATCATTGATAGTGGCAACTGCGGTACTTTGGTGTCTCAAGAAGTTGTTGACAAGTTGAAGTTGACATTTGAGAAACACCCACTGCCCTGCAAAATTTCATGGTTTCAGAAATGTAATGAGACTCCGATAACTTCTCGTTGCTTAATTAATTTTTCCATTGGTAAAACCTTTAATGATTGAGCTCGGTGTGATGTCCTTCCAATGGACGCATGCCATATCGTTTTAGGTCGTCCTTGGCAATATGATCGAGCTTCCATAAACCATGGGCAACACAGTACATACTCTTTTTGGAAGGATGGGGTGAAAATTGCTTTGAAACCGTTAAAGGAGGAAAACAAGCCTGAGCCCAAGAGTGGGAAAGGAGATGTTGTCCTTACTTTGAACCAGTTTGTTGAAGGCGGCAAAGAATAAAGGGTAGTGTATGCTTTGGTAACCAAAGAAGGGTCTTGCCTAAATGAAATCCTAACAAAAGTTAACCCACTAGTTGAAAAGTTAAAAGGATGGGATTACTGATGAACTACCTAATAAGTTGCCAACGACGAGAGCCATTCAATATTGCATTGATTTTGTTCTAGATTCCACTCCCTAACTTGCCACATTATCGAATGAGTCCCAAGGAGCACAAGAAGTTACATAGGCAAGTAACGAAATTTTTGTAGAAAGAGCATGAGCCCATGTGCTTTGCCTGTTCTTTAGCAGGTTTGTAATGGTGTACTTCGATAACATCCTCATTTCCAGTGCAAGCACTGATGAACATTTGTTGCATTGACAGCAGGTGTTGAATGTAAACCTCAAAAAATGTTCATTTTTTATTGATTGTTTAGTACTTTTGGGTTTTCTACTGTTAAGTGAATGGTCAAGATGGATCCTACTAAAGTACAAGCCATTGTGACTGGCTGCCACGCAAAACAGTGACTGAGGTGAGAAGTTTTCACGGTTTAGCAACATTTTACAGGAGGTTTATCAGAAACTTCAGCAGCACAATAGCACCCATAACTGATTGCATGAAGAAAGGGGTGTTTAAGTGGACTTTAGCTGTTGAAAACAACTTCAAATTAGTGAAAAAAGAACCCGTGGAAGCACCATATGTGAGTATTGGACTTCTTTCCTCAATAGCTTTCTTCCTATTCTTCTCCATAACCCCCGTTTTGGGGCGAATTCCGAACAGAATGACTGGGTACCCAAGCCCAGTTAGATTTACAAGATCGCTTTTTTGTGTCGACAACAGCAAATCAGAACTTTGGCAGACTGATAAAGCAAAAATGGGTCGAATACTCAGAAAATGTGACAAGTGCTCCTGTCCTTGCACTTCTAGATTTGAAAAAGGTCTTCCAAGTGGAGTGTGGTGCCTCGAAGGTGGGAATTGGAGGTATCCTAAGTCAATAGAGCAGACCTGTGGCCATTTTAGCGAGAAATTGAGTAGGACAAAGATTAATTATTCTACTTATGATGTGGATATCTATGTGGTGGTTCAAGCTTTGAGACATCGGAAGCACTGCCTCATTCAAAGAGAATATATCCCATTTTCGGACAATGAAGCTTTGAAGTATCTGAGTGCTCAAAAGAAACTGAAACGTAGGCAATGCTAAGTGAGTCTCTTACTACAAGAGTTCACTTTCGTGGTCGGCCATGAATTAGGCAGCCAAAACAAAGTGGCTGATGCCATCAGCCAGAAGTGTCACCTCCTTGGTACTTTTGCCACTTCACTTGTAGGATTTGAGTCCCTACCTTAGGCTTATAGTACTGAGTACTGACCCTTACTTCTCTAAGATCCTTGAGTAACCTGCACAAGGAGAAAGGGTATGCCGTTTTTGTTTTGCAGGATGGATTTCTCTTCAAAGGGAGTCGGCTTTGCATTTCCGAGGGGTCATTTCACATCCAAATCATGGGTGAGATGCATGATGGCAACCTTAGTGGTCACTTCGGGTGGGATAAGACCACAACCCGTGCGAAATAATAGTAGTTTTGGCCCAAAATAAGGAGAGATGTCAGCCAGTTGGTCAAGCATTGCACAGTTTGCCAATTGGCAAAGGGTTGGTCTTAAAACACTGTTCTTTAAAGTCCCTGACCTATCCTAGACCGACCATGAATAGATGTGATTATGGATTTTGTGGTAGGACTTCCCCACACCTCAAGAGTGTTTGACTCCTATCTTTGGGGTGGTAGATAGGCTCTCTAAAGTGGTCCACTTTATCCTTTGCCAAAATACTTTAGATGCGACCCAAGCGGCTGATCTCTTCTTTAAGGAGGTGAATTCGCCTTCATGGCATGCCAAAGACCATCACTTCCGACTGAGACAGCCATTTTAGGAAAACCTTGTGAAAAATCTTAGGCACTAAATTGCAGTATAGCAATACCTACCACCCCCAAACTGATGGCCAAACCGAGGTCGTCAACTAGAGCCTTGAAGATTTGTTGAGAAGCCTTGCCAGGGACAAGCCTTCTCAATGGGATTGAGTTTTACCTTTGGCAGAATTTGCCGACAATAGCTCCCTTAATCGGTCCACGGAGAAAGCTCAATTTAAGGTGGTCTAGTTAATCCATCAAGCAAGGTGCTCAACACAATCCCTTTGCCCGAAAGGTTCAAGCTAGCAATGAAGTGGACGCTTTGGCTAAGAAAATTCAAGACCTCCATCGACAAGTTTGGAAAGACTACAAAAGTGTTTTAACAAGTACAAAGCTGATGCCTACTTGCACAGACATGAACAAACCTTTGAAATAGGAGACTTGGTAATGGTGTACCTTAGGCATGAGAGCTTCCTAAGAGGGAGTTATCATAAGCTTAAATATTAGAAAATTGGCCCCTGTCAAGTGCTTCAAAAGATGGGGCAAAATGCCAACAAGATAGAGCTTCCTGATGAATATGAAATTTCTCCTCTGAGAATCATGGGGAGGTTGATGTGGAAGGTAGTGCCAGTTGGGAAACACATCTGCCTAAGCGAGAGGGGACAAGGTAGAAAGGATCTTGGACAGCCGCATCATCTCTATCCGTGGAGGGAATTACGGTTAGTATTTTAGCACAGTGGAGGGCCCAGCCTGATGCAAAGATCTTGTGGATTTGTAAAGAAGAAATGATGACGATTGATCTAAAAGCCCCTGGGGAGTTCATTGCCAGTTCGAACTCAAAGGCAAGTTATCTTTAACCCGGGGAGATTGATGAAGAAAATAAAAGAAAGTTTTGATTAATATTTGTTTTCTTTTGAATTGCATTTTCTTTTTCTTTTTCCTTGCAGGGGTATTTTGGGAAATTTCCTCTGTAATGGTCTTTTCTGGGATTTACAGAAAAGTCAGGGAGTTCTTTTAAATTTTTGGGCGTGGGAAAAATTAGGAGGGAAATGTCTGAATTTGAATTTGAAATATAGCTTGGGAAGTGATATCGTACATGGCATGGGAAAGTATATTTTGCATGATTTGAGAAGGGGTAGAGTCCATTTAATATTCCTAAGAAAGTTACGAGAGCACTGACTTAGAAGCCAAGCCAAGTCTATTAACAGGGGAGACCTTACTCTGCTGTAATGTAAATCTCAGAAAATCAGGAACTTAGTTCCCATGTGGGTATCTTTGGACCCCCATATAAGCCATTGAAGCTAGGCTTTGTTAGCTTCAATCCATTGTTTTTGAATTACTTGTTAAGTTCCCTTGTTTTCTACCTGATTTTGAGCTATTCCTCTCTTTTTCCTGCATCAGGTTTTGGCTAGCACTAAATTGTTATCCACTATCAATCTAAATAATACCTTCTGAATTCATCTTAAATACAATGTAATTGTGAAAAGTGCATGGACAGGGACTTTTATAACAACATAAATAGGAAAGGATATTTTGAGTCATGTAAGAAGGGAAGACAATGATTGACAATTTTTTTCCTTTTTTTTTAAGGAGAAACAAAAAATTAGATTTATTTATGAAGCTAATATGTAAAAGTCTCCCAGAGAAAAGTACATATAGGAGCTAGTCTCTAGAGAATCCATATACCATCTCTCGCTGATGAGTTGAAGCTCGTGGAGCACCCTTCACAAACTCTTCCATGGCTGTGAGAAAAAATGAAGGCGACTGCACCATTTGTCAGAAAGTAAATAACTACAAGCCATAGGTGAGAAGACGAATTGAATTGAACCTTCATATTACACAGCATGATAGAAACACTTCAAGATTCAAAGAAACAAAAGCTCTAACCCGTTCAATTTTGACAAAGCTTTCAGCACCCCGAGGATCAAGCCCCTTACATACTTCATAAAATTCAGACAAATTTGACGCATAAAGCAATGAAAAGAAATAGTAAAAGCACAAGTCCTGAACAGAAGTTCGCCCAAAAAATAATTTGCAACCTCATCCAACACAATAATTTGTATGAGTAAATCCAAGTTATAAAAGGAATAAAGGAAGAGCCTGCTGTCTGGCCTTCCTGTATATTTCAAGAGCCCTCAAAGTATGATGTTGTTTCATTCCAAAGAACTGGTATGATAACCAATATCAAGTTGGTATTCACAATGATTTAAGGAAGGCTTAATGATCACATCAGCAAGTTGTTACTACCTTGTCGACTAAATTGAAAGTGGCATCATTAATTGCATTGAAAATCCTAATACTTTCCCCTGCAACCTGGGAAAATAGAACAATATCAAGCATGCAAAAGAAATCATGGTAATCTATAGTTGATCCTATCAATGCAACTCCAAATAGTATACATCAAATCAGGCAATTAATAGTTACCAATGAAAGAGCCAATTGGATAATACAATTAGTTCCAGCTGCTCCTTGTGGCTGTGCAAACAGATGCCAACAATATCTGGTAGAAACTACATCAAGCCACATACCTAAGAAAAAGAAACTATATCAAGAGCTTCTGGGCCCCTTACTTAAAGTGACAGAAAAATACGAGTTTAGATCAATACAATCCATAGAATGCATATAAGGGATGTAGAAGTCATGATTATCCAACATGAAGCACCATCACAGATTACCTGGCAAGCAAGAAGACGAGAAAGTAGTTGCTCCAAAGATGGTAATTGCTTAAGCAAGTCAGCCTTGTCGAGTTCCCCCATCCTCTGAAAAGTGAAAAACCAGTTTGTTGGTGCAAATATCACAATGATTTTCATGCAGCAAATGATCAAGGCGTCTTCAATATTATAGGAAACCAAATAGCATACAAACACTTCTATCATGGAAACAAATAATTCATTATATATTTCATCAGACCACAAAAATTCATTTTACAATCATTTTAAAAGGAGTTTAAACTTTAAAGAATTCTTTAGAACCTCGGTCTTGCCCATTTGGAAAGATACATTCAATGAGTTACTGATTTCACCATTGTGCATAAGCCCTCTAGGGCATTTTGATGACTACCATAAATCAACAGTTCAGGTATCTTCATTGAACCACTTGTGTTAAGAGTTTTAATCAAAGAATTTTTTTGTATTATATAAACCGAGGAAAACAATTACATTTTGCATTCTCATAATTCTCACCAAGCTTTATCATTCTTTGTGTTGGATTTAAACTCCACAAATTCCATGAAAATATTTGAGGATATACCAACTTACATCATTCACTTAGATATTCTCAATTTGAGAAGCAGCATAGATCTGATAAACCAAAACAATCAAGGTATGTGCCTTTCATACCAGCACACGTACTGTACTTTCATTGAATGTGCCAGGCACATTTGTTGATTACTAAAATTTGAACTTTCGAATACATATCTTTCTATTTTTTTCTCTCTCTCTTTTTTTTTCCTTTGAGTAAGGTTTATAAGAATATGGACACATAGTAATGCGATTATGATTTTAAAGAATCTATTCAAAAGAAATAGGACCACAATATAACAGTTTATAGAAAGAAAGTCAAGCGACTCAACATCTTTCTCTCGCTTGAGAAATGCTTTCCATTAAATAGAGGGAGTCCAGGCAAAGACAAGATTGAGTTTGTTGAGACTGTTTGAATAACTCAGCTGTATGAGGATCTTTACAGATCTTATCTTCATTTAAAATGTCTCCTTTATCCTTCTGATCCATATGCTTAATCGTATCCAAGGCCCCAAAGATGGATCCCAAAGGTGGATAGCTAGGATACTGTATCCCAAGGCCCCCGAATCCCCTGAGCCTTCCAAAGGTGGATTTGGGATACCTAGATACCGTATCTCAGAGCCCCAAAGATGGATCTCAAAGGTGGATAGCTATGATACTGTATCCCAAGGCCCCCGAATCCTTAGGGCCCCCGAATCCCAAGGCCCCACCTTGGATACCGTGGCCCCAGGGCCTCTCAAAGATGGATTTGGGATACCTAGATACGGTATCCCTAGGACGCCCAAAATGGATACCTGGGATACCGTATCTGGATACCTAGGATACCGTATCTCAGGGAGGTAGGTAGATACCTAGGATACCGTATCCCAGGGCCTACCAAAAGTGGATACCTAGATACCGTATCTGGATACTTAGGATACCGTATCTCAGGGAGGTAGGTGGATACCTAGGATACCGTATCCTAGGGCCTACCAAAAGTGGATACCTAGATACCGTATCCCCAAGTGAGATACCGTATCCCCAAAGGTCTCAAAGGTAGGTGGGATACATAGGACACTGTATCCCCCAAAGGTCCCAAAGGTAGGTGGGATACCTAGGACACCGTATCCCAAAGTGGAGGTAGGTGGATACCTAGGATACCGTATCCCCAGGTGGAGGTAGGTGGATACCTAGAATACCATATCCCAGGGCCTCCCAAAGGTGGATACTTAGATACGGTATCCCCAAAATGGATACCTATCATATGCCTCCCCCCAGACGCTAGATATTGTATCCCCGACGCCTGGCCCCCAAAATGGATACCTGGGATACGATATCCCAGGGCATCTCAGGGCCTCCCAAAGGTGGATACCAGATACTGTATCCCCAAAATGGATACCTAGCATATGCCTCCCAAAGGTGGATACCTAGATACCATATCCCTCGAACGCTGGATACCGTATCCCCGTCGTCAATCCCCCAAAATGGATATCGTATCCATGGATACCTGGGATACGGTATCCCATGGCCCCATAGCCCATGGGGCCTCAAAGGTAGGTGGATACCTTGGCCCCCAAAATGGACACCTGGGATACGGTATCCCATGGCTCGGTGGATATCTAGGAC